AAAAAAAAAACCAGGGGCCCATCGCTTGGGTTGCTCCTCTGGATGAGTAAGGAAATGTGAGGTGTTGGAAGGCTGTGCTGGTAGCTAATTCTGACCTTTCAGAGTGAGGGGGTGCTTGAGTGTGGGGCCCACGGGTGCCTCCTGGTGCCAAGGGTGTCTCGCCCCTCAGGCTCCTTCCGTGAGTAAATCCTATGCTGGCGTGAAGGACACTTGCTCCTCAGAGAGTTGAAGGAGCGTCACTTCTGTGTCAGAGCTCAGTTCTGGCTCATTTCATGCACACACACATGCACACACATCATGTTCCGTGTAGCCAGTGTCACGTCTGGTGGGTATGCCAGCACATGCGTGTGCATGTGTCCACATGTCATACGTGTATCATCTTCCGTGTGTCCTGTGCCACTTCTGGTGGATGCGCTCGCACTCCCAGTTCTGAAACGTGTTTGCACACGGTCCCTGGGCCACAAGGGCCCTCAGGCGCCCGCAGCCCGGGTTTACGTGGAGTCACCCCCACTGTGGTGTGAGGGATGTCCAGGTGAAGAAGAGGGGTCTTCCCAGGCCTGTGACAGCTCACCTCAGATCCAGGACGGACCCGTGCCTCTCTGGGGCTTCTTCAGGAAAGAGCGCTCTCTCTTCGACTTTGCAGTTTCTGGAGAGTAAAAATCTTACGGTTCCTAATACCTTCCTAACTTCAATTTTCCTGGTTATTCTGATGAACAGGGCATTTCTGTATCATATTATTTCAAGGCTGATGTAGAAACAGTTTTCCTTTTGGAAGATTTAAAAAAGAAGGGAAGCCTTTTAAATTGTTCACATCCTAGTTTTTATGCCCAGAGTCACGTGATGCTGACAATCGGACATTGGCTGTGAGCGCATCAGCACGTAACTAGCAAAGTCTTGAATTCCGAAACTAAGGGAATGGACAGTTAGGTTATTAAAACCTGAGGGAGATCACTCTTCACCTAATTTGTTTGTATTTTAATGTTTGTTTATGTTGAGAGAGAGAGAGAAGGGGAGGGGCAGAGAGAGGGAGAGAGAGAATCCCAAGCAGGCCCCCTGCTGACCGCGCAGAGCCAAAATCTCATGAACCCAGATCAAGACCTGAGCCGAAATCAAGAGTCAGACGCTTAACCGACCAAGCCCCCCAGGTGCCCCGTGTCACAGTTGTTGATGTAATTACAAATATTCAAAACTTATTTATGCTTGGCTGTTACATTGTTTGATCAGAATGAAATAGTGACCAGGCTTCATAGAAAGGAAATCAGAGCCTTGGCCCTTGATACTACAAGCATGAGGTTACCCTGTAAATCTTCCTAAGTTTAACTTCTCTGTAACCCCCTTGTTTAAAAATCTCTGTAACCCTTTTAAATCAAGTTGTGTAGAATGATCATCTTTGAATAATCTATGGAAAAGTTACTGATTCAGTTAATAAAATGTGCTGGAGGAGAACTTGGTTAGCGACAGGCACCGTTTTGATGCACCTGTGATGCCGCTCGCAGCCATCGCTGTGGCGTGATGACCCTGGTGATCGCGACGCTTCCCTGAGGTATTGTCACAAGTCCCAGCAGCGGCACGTTTCAGTGTCACAGTTACCCTGTTGCCCGAAAACTGCCCCTGTCCCGTCGCTGCCCCGCTGGGGTGTCCTCACTCCACCTTGTTTGCTGTGGCATGTTCCCTGAGGCAAGCGGGACCTGCTCCGTCGAGTGGGCCGTCCTGCACTTCGGTCCTGTCGGTGACGACGTCTCGGTTTGCCGAAGACAGGCTCAGGGAGGAGGGGGACCGGGTTGGATACTGAGCTGGCGCTGCTTTAACTTCTTTCTTCCGGGAGCATTTGAATTCCAGATCCTGAAAGCGAACCAGATGTGACACAAGTGTGACTTTTCCTTTAAATGTTTATCTTAGGGCCTGCTTTTTCGAGAGTTCGCCATCAAGGAGTATTCAGAAATGTATCATTTGGAAAAGGGTTGTTTTCCATTTAGTTGTCTCAGATCTTAAGACACAGGCCCATGTGCGTCGTGTGCGCACTGAGGAGTACACGGGGTGGGCCGGGCACAGTGCGTGTGCTCTCCAGGACCCTCCATGTTAGGGCAGGCTGCAGAGGACTTGCTTCGTCTGTGCGGGGCTTAGTTTCAAAGGACGGTCTGGGAAGCGGGAAGCGGTAGCCAGGGAGGACGTGGTCAGGACAGGTCTTCCGTTGTGTGCAGACGTGAGGGCAGGTGTGGTCTGTCCTGCCGGCCTGTGCTAGGCCGCAGGGATGTCACAAACACTGCCCCGTCCTTGGTAGGGCGATGGGCCACACTGATTTCCTTCTGGATGTACTCTTCAAAGGCGGACTCCCGTCCAGAGGACGCCCCTGCCCTTGCCTGAGTGCTTGCTCCTCTGCTCTGTCCTTCTGATGCAAACGGATCTCTTGGTTTTGTTGTGAGCTCCATCTGAGAGGTGAGAGGCGGGGGGCTCTGCGCTGTTTCTGATGTGGGGCCAGGAGAGCGCACTGCCTGGCATTTCCGGGCCAGCATTTTCCACACATCGTGTGTTTTTTTTTTTTTCTTAGCTATGAAATTCCGGCAGATTGTTATGCAAAACAGCTTTGTGTCTCTGTGTGACTGGGAAGACAGCTGTTAGTCCTAATGAGGAGTGCTAGCATTACAGTCTCTCCGGTGATTGAGACCCGCGGAGGGAGCGGAATGTTCCAGATCGGCCAGTGGTGTGCGGTGAGAAGGTAGTGCGCTGTCAGCTGGAAGCACACGCCCGGCTGCTCTCGGCGACAAGATAAATGAGTCGGCTGGAGTTCGGCAGAGTCTGAGCTTTTCCAGTGAGCAGTCATGGCACAGTGGGTTCCCCCGGGGACCCGAGTCCGAGGGTGCCTCGAGAGCCATGGCCCCCGCGCCAGCTTTTCCCTTTGATGCCCTACAATACCTGTCAGGATGGTGATTTATTAAAAACCTAATGTCTTTCAGCATTTCATTAACATAAGGTGAGGCGGTCTTTTGTGGAGACTTTTTTCATTAATTGAGCAGAATGTTCACTGAAATTTAACTTGGCCACAACTCCCTGAGAACCGGAGTCCACGGGGGAGGCCGGGCGTCAGAGTCCCTCCCAGCTTGTCGCGGCCTCTGCACCAGGCCAGGCCTGACGCTCCTCTGTGTTTGAGACGGGGGTTCAGAGGGGCCGTTGGCTTCAGGTCCGGGCTTACCTTCCTCCCCCTGTTCTCTGTGCATCACACGTGGGCCCCCCTCCACTGCCTGATATAGCATGGTGTCCACATTCATCCCCGTGATGACAGCGGGATTTGTGTCTTTTTTTTATGGCCCAACAAGACCCTGTTGTTCATACACACATGCCATCTTCTTTGTACATTCGTGTGTCAACATTAGCTGGTTTGCGTGTCCTGCCTGCTGTGAACATGGGGGCGCAGGTACCTCTTCAGGGTACTGATCCGTTTCCTTGGGATGCGTGCCCGGTAGTGGTGTTGCTGGATCACAGGGTAGTTCTATTTTTAACTATACAGGGAGCCTCCACACTGTCCTCCACACTGTCCTCCACAGTGGCTGCACCAGCTTGCATTCCCACCAACAGGGCATGAGGTTCCTTTTCTCCACGTCCTGACCAACACTTGTGTTCTGTTTTTTTGATGGAAGGCATTCTAAGGGGAGTGAGATGGGATGCTGTGGTTTTGATTTGCGTTCCCCTGATGGTTGACGGTGAGCATCTTTTCATGGGCTTTTTGGCCTTTTGTGAATCTTCCGTGGAGAAAGTTCTGTCTAAATTCTTGGCACGTTTTTAAATTGGTGGTGGTGGTGGTGGTGGTTGAGTTAAAGGAATAGGTTTTTCTCCAGTGTTTTGGTTAAACTGAAAGTTAGGCTGGATTTTTCTTTTTCTTTTTCTTTTCTTTCTTTCCTTTTTTTTTACATTTGTGCTATCAGGTGCGAGTATGTAGACATTTTGGCAGGTTCTGTCTAATCGATGTCTTCCAGTAGCTTCTCTTTGCTCCATTGCCTGAGAAGGTAGAGCTGAGTAGAATGGACTGTACTTTTCTAATGCTCATTGTGTTTACACTCACAGGGAGATTGAAGCAGGAGTTAGTGGAGTCGGAGACAACTGTCCGCTTCCACGTCTCCAGTAGCCTTTCCACCTGCCTCACCAGTCTCTGGCAGCGGGATTGTGTGCTCATTACGCAGGTGGAGAGGACTTGTGTCTGCATCCTGGGACTTGCTGATGATCTTTTGAACCTGTGCCCTTACTTGTAGCACCGTGACCTCGGCCGTGTTCACCGTGGGAGATAATGTTGTTTCGGGCAGCGATGACCGCACCGTGAAGGTCTGGGATTTAAGGAATATGAGATCCCCCATTGCGACTATTCGCACAGACTCTGCCATCAACAGGTGAATGTTGTTATGTCCTGCTTGTTATGTCCTGAGAGGGTGGCTTGTCATGCAGTGTTTTATTCATGTACGTGTGGTGTTTAAGAGAGCACTTGGAAAAGTGCATTAGACTTCCGGGGAAGTATTTTTTGCAGGGGGGATTATTTTTTATTGATCCTCATGCAGATTTAGTATCCCCTGTGTGCTGCTGAAATGTGAGTATAAAATTGGGCTGGGGCGGTGAGCTTCAAAGGAGAAGAATGAGCCACCTTTGGGCAAGCGCTGTGGGGCTGCATTTGAGTCACTGTCATTACAGGTAAGTGACTCGGTCTCTGTGTGCTGACGCTGCAGACAGATAGCACCTGCCTTGAAGCGTGAATGGTGCGAAGTCTCCCACTGCGTGATAGTCTGTAAACTCGGAGACTTGTGCCGTCCCGACTTCATCCATAACCCACTTCGTCTCCCCTTCGCAGGATCAATGTATGCGTCGGCCAGAAGATAATCGCCCTCCCACACGACAACCGACAAGTGAGGCTGTTCGACATGTCGGGCGTGCGGCTGGCGCGGCTCCCCCGTAGCAGCCGGCAGGTAGGTGTGCTTTCGCCCCGCGTGTTCGCCCTGCGTGTTGGCAGCGAGCCTTGGGGACAGCGTGGAGTCTGCGTCCTAGGTCACCACTGACCGACGAGCCCCACGTCGTTTCAGGTTTTCTAAAAAGAGAGAAACTAGCGATATGTTTAAATTATCCAGATATACTAGACATAAGTGCTTTTATAATTGTAATCGATATAAACACACCAGAGGTGTCACATTCTTATTTTCCTACTGTCATTGGACGCTAGATTTCACTGGAAGTACTTGATCTGTGTTTAGGACTCACAAAATTTAAAGTTGAAGGGTTCCCCAGTACCTGAACTGAGTGTGCCACATGTTTTTAAACTTAAATGAGATGGCGCACTCCGCCCCCCAGTCTCGTGTGGGGAGCAGAGGGCGCCCATGGTGGCGGTCCCCCTCCGGGACAGCACAGCCTCTCCTCTTGGCAAGTGAAAGTGTGCGCCCTCACTCGGATGCAGAGGTGTGGGCCTCGGGGCCTCTTTCAGAAGAGGACCCACCCCGCCCAGACCGGAAGAGCCCTTTCCCTGGCAGGTGCAGGACGGGAAAAGCCCATCTAGATGCAGCTTTGCTGGGAGTCAGCCCAGACGGTGCGGGGGAGGGGGAGTGTGGTGCTCGTGGCCGTGGCTGTGGCTCAGACCTGCTGATGCACATTCCCAGCGTGCCACCTGGGAGTTCGCACTTAGGTGGTTCCCGACGGCTCCTGTGGGGCAGTGGATGTTGCTGTGATGCATAACCCCCCATACGCTCCCTCCTGCATCCCCCCGCCCCTCCCTTCCCATCTTCCCCCACTACCCCTCAGTCCCCATCGCTGAGGCCGCACCTCTGCAGGCCTGGTGCTTAACTGAGCCTTGCCCCCTGGCCCCCCTCCTTTTCCTCCCACGGCCTTCTCCGTGT